ACCTATTACGAAAAGAACTGACAAAGGGTAAGTGTAATGAAAACCAAAGCATGCAACTAAATGACACTTACTGTGTACATAAAGTGGTGTGTCATCTATTTACACGACAGAGCAGCACATGATGGGCATTACAAGAGTATTAGGTGGAGGGGAAAATGATATTTTAGAAAATACATGTCATTGAATATGAAAATTATTAAATAAGGGATGGTGAAGAATTTTTTTTCTTTATCTTTTACAATGACTTTTAACCAATTAATAGCAAATCTCATCTGGGAGTTAGGATGCCGAAAATTTGACGGATCTCTCACCATGTAACCCAGAGTGCTACAGACATGCTCAGTGGCTGGGAAAATTGCATTACTTGGGTTCATATCATTCATTATAACAGCCATTTCTGTGGTTTAAGAGATTTTTAGCTACAGTTCAACCCAAGAGCATCTTCATATTTGCAAAGTGAACTGTCACTGCTGGCCAACTGAGAAGAATCTATTTTTCTCCTAGAATTTCACATTATGTTCAACGTTAGATGCATGGTACAATCTTGACTTGTGGCGTAGATGTGAACATCTCTCAGGAGTTAAAAATAATGTAAATGAAGCTTCCACCAGAAAACTTGTAAGCGGTCTAATTTCCTGGTATTTGTGTTTGATCACCGAATTCTGTGCCAGGCCACACGTTCAGCTGCCTGGCGGCCCCTGCGATATATAAAAAGTACTTCCATTTTTATAGGAATGTGCTGGCAAACATCTACCACTTCTATGAATTATTAGTCCTTTTCTGCTAATTATTTTGGAAAAAAAAAAAGCAGAGGTGTAGGTCCAAGTTCAAGTGGCTCTCAACATCTGAGACATACTTGGGCTAAAACTGTTCAGTTGGAAGAAAATCTCTGCCCCATATGGCCACCAGGTCTACCAGTGCATTATGAAGCCTGTAGGAAAAATCATGTTACTTTCTTTTTGTATTAGAAATTGAGCAACAGATTGAAAGAATGACTGATAAAAGTAATCGCTGAGGAAACATAATAAAGCGAGTGACCAATTTATGACAGAAGGACGTAAATTGACGTCTATGAAAAACAGAAAATTACGAACTGAAAGGGACCTGTTGGACACCCTGGAACTTGAATGGCTGGTTTCAAACAACAGGCCCAGCCCTGCGATTTTACATTACTACTAATAAACAAATTTGAAGGAGTCAAAATTAATCGACCCCGTCCCATCATGTTCAGGTTACATTTTGGCGTGTGGCCTTCTGTCTATGTATATTTGTATAAATCGCACTCTTAGGGGTCATGCTGAGTGCTAAACAGAATTAACATAGTTTTGGAAACTCACAGGTCCTAGATGAAAGATCATACGGGAAGGTGTTTGATGATATATCTTCTACTGGAGGCTCTCACATGCTTCTGAAATTAATAACCAGACACAGAAAACTTTGTAAAATTAAAAAATTGTTTTGAATTCCATATTGAGGCCAGATCAGGGTGAGAGACAAATGATAGCAAGGAGAGTAAGGAAAGGAAGGTGAAGAAGGATGGAAAGGCAAGAAGACAGGATGACAAAGCAATTAGTAAGGAGGTTCAGAACGTTGACTCTGTGGCCCCAAGTCTAGATTTCCCTGCCTCCGGGGCCAGGGAGCCCCAGCAGAACCCACCCATTTGGCTTGGGGAAGACGGTTCCCAAGAAAAGAAGTTTCCATAACTTCTTTCTCTTATGGAAAGAACGGGAACTTGGATCTTCAGATGCCAATTGGAAAATGGGGGTGAGAGGGAGAGAGAGAATGGATAGTGTTTTGTTTGTTCTGTAAAGGAGCGATGGTTGATTCATTTCTTCAAGGAGGAAATGTCCTGCACTTCTCTGCATGGTGGTGCCCCCCTTGAAGAGTCTGTGCTGCAGGATGCTACAGGGCATTTTGTTAACCTTGGGCACACACAGCATCGATTCGGGAACTTGCTGTACAGACTGAATGGCCTTGAGTCTTGGTTTGTTTGCAGCTTCTGGACGCTGTCATACCCCATTCCACGCTTCAGTTCTGCTGTTGGATGTTGGTGCTATCAAGGGCGATTTTTAGAACTAAAGAATCCTAATTCATTATTTCTGACTCCATCTACAATCAGAAAGGAAAAACGCCCCTAGGCTTTGTATCTGATATTCTATGCCATATATTTTTCTTTTTGTTGTTGCTGTCCTTTGCTTTCCCTTGAAGAATGGAACATGTTTTAGACTTCTCCATATTATAAACCTCATTTGAAAAGTGTTGAATCAAGGAAGTCTGCCAGCTACTTTTGTTTTCCCTACTTTTCTCTCTCCCTGTTGGACCGCTCCAGCAAAGGAGAATAATATTACCTTACCATGTAAAACATGGTTAATGGCTTTAAAAGAATTCCCCAACAACTGAATAATGAGCTGCCAAAAATATTCTTGGTGCCAGAGGGATCTGGATATGTCTGTTTCATTTATTGTGTGTTTCTCATTTCATCATGACTCAGTGCTCACAAAAGACATAAAAACCCAAACCTCCAGGGTATGTGGTGTTGGAGGGCAGAAACCATATTTTAATATATTCAGTCGTGTAACTAACACAGTAAGATGATTAGTAGAGTATCCACAGCAAACAATGATGAATGCCAGTTGTAGGTAAGATGCTCAAAGTATCGATTAAGTTAGTATCTGGCCACTAGAAGGAAGTTGTTTTTCTACCATCTCTATTGTGCTTGGTTGAGTGGCTGAAGAAAACTTATTCCAAGGAGTGCTGGGAGTCTTGCACCAAAAACTTTTATCTTGTTCTGCTTATTTGAGTGAGTTTACTAAGAAATGTGAAGAGGGAACCTATTTCTTTTTTTTTTTTTT